TGTCCCCTCTGATGCATTGGTTCCCAAAGAATTTTTAGGGGAAAATAATTGAGGAAAAAAGGGGGGGGGGCTTTCTGGGAATGATTACATCTGTTCTAAGTGTGACTGACAAAGCCAAACCAAAACCTCCAAGAGAATCAGCAACATTATAAGAGAGGAGAGAGCCTGCAGGTTGTGTGGTCCCAGCAAAGTCTGTGCTGCCCTGAGGTTCACTGGTCCTTGTTGAGTGAGAGAGAGACTGTCTCCGTGGGCTCTTCCCCTAAAAATTCTTTGGGAACCAATGCTTCTCAGGTTTTTTATTTGGAAACACCGGTTGTCCCTCCAGACCCTGGGGACCTCTCTGATTCGATGCTGACAGAATCGGGACTGGAGGCAATGAAAGTTAATAAAGCAGCGGAGGACACTTTTCCCCAGACTCAGGTCCAACAGACCTTTCCGCAGAAGTAGCTAGTTAGAGTCTGAGCTAGATAATTTTGGTTAGGTTTTTGAGAATACCATACCAAGTGTTCCGTTGTATTCACCCCTTCACCTCTCCCGCTTTCCCCCTACCCATTCCCATGCTCCTACCCACACAACTTTGAGTCCTTTTTAAAAGCCCATCAAGGCCAATTGGTGCTGCTCAAATATCCTGAACGTGGGTCTTCCACTGGGGTGTAGTTGACTTACCAGAAGCTACTAAACTCTCAGAGAAAAACCCCTCTCCCTATCCCAGCAACGCACAATTGCCAATAGCTCCATGGCCGTGGGTGGGACTGTGTGCCCAACTCCCCTCTCCACGCTGGGATTTGGTCTCCATGCGTGCACAGGCTTTGTGCACGCTACTGAAGCTACTCTGTGTTTCCCTAGAGCCGCCGTGCTGTGTGCAGAAGGCACTGTCCCCTGTAGTCACTTCCCGTCATTTCTGCTGCAATTATCCCTGCGCCTTCAGAGCCCGTTCTTGGGGGAGGCCTCTAGTTTGTTCCCCGACCGCCCTGCCTCGAAACAATCACTCAGAAACTATATTATTTGCAACACCGTTTGGCCAGTAGCTTAAGCGTATTTCAAGCCAGCTCTTATATCCTAAACTAACCCATTTCTATTCATCTATGTATCACCACGTGGCCGTGGCTTACCGGCAAGGTGGTCTGTCTCCTGCAGGTGGCCACATGACTTCTCCTGACTCCTCCTGCTCTCTCTATATATCCTTTCTGGCCTGGCTATAGTCTGCTAAGCCCTTGGCCAAAAGCAGCTTTATTCATTAACCAATGAAAGCAACACATATACAGAAGGACTTCCCACACCAGCCCTTTGCTTAAGAAGTCTCTTCTCATAAAATTGTGACAAACCTATTTTGAAATAGAGAAATTCTACACATGCTACCTACAGGACACAGTCCACCCATATGTTGATTAAAAATTCAAAGTGAATGCTGAGACTTGAACCCAAAACAATGTTCAGAAAGTGTATATGAATATATTTACCTCTGGCGAATGGCATGCTTTAAAACAGTCAAAATAGCAAATTTTAGGTCCGTTATATTTTTATCATAACAAAACATCAGGAAAACGTGAAAAAGCCTCTTGTGATTTCAGGTTCGCACAGCGTGTTCCTGCGCCCTTGGCTACCTAACTTACAATGCCTATGCGTTCCGCATCCTGCTGGCTGAGTGCAGGAACAAGCCTAACCAGTTCCTGCGGATAATGAACAACATCAGCAGAGACGCCAAGATTAACCCTGCCTTCCTGAAGGAGTTCCAGATGCAGCAAAGCGTGGGGCTTCCATCCTTAAGGTATCGTCTTAATAAGAAATGGCACTAGTGACATTTAGTGCCCGCAAGTGCGCTCATGTGTTTGTGCATTCTTGACGTGCATGGGTACCCTGTGGGTATAAACTTAACCTTGAACGTTCATTGGCAAAGCCCGCTTTTGTTTACTTTGGAACGCCGAGAGTCTTCTGTTTTGACCCGTGGCAGCAGGTTTCTGTTTAAGGGTTAGTGTTAAGTGCTCAGCGTCTTAACTCACTTCAGCTGCTCTGTTCCACCCAGGGAAACAGTCAAGTTCACTTGCCCAGCCTGGAGACAAGCTGGGGCTATGTAGAGGCTGGTTGATGTAGTCAGCTGTGTGTACGCAGACCTAGGCCCAGGAAAGATCCGATTTGTTAGAACTGTTTCTGAGAAGTGTGCTACAAAACAGAAAGTCCTGTTTCAAATTAGGACGAAAAGGAAGGTTGCAACAGTTACTGCGGTCAGAGATCCATAGACATGGGCCACAGTTGATGCTACCACTCGGTTGGGGAAAATCTGGATGAGATTGGACCCATGTTTTCTAGAAATCCAAGCAGCATAAAGGGCGGAGTTCTGGCGTAAGAGGCAGCAGCTAAAACAACACACTGGCTGAAGTTTGGGCGTCTGTCAAGCATTTTGCTCAACTGATTCTTTCTCAATGTCACAGTTTCATTAGAACCTAAGTCTTTAAAATAGGGGGTGAAAAAAATCTTACTGTGAACAAAGCTGAATTATGAGTCTTTCCAAGTAGGAAAACATTCATGTAAGAGCTACTCAAGATAAATTATTACTCTGATACAAGGGAAGGAGACCCAAATGTACACTGTGGTTATATAAGTCAATTTTAAGTATAGGAAAAGGTAAGTCTATTTCAAGAATCCTTTAAAAACTAAATATGCAAAATTAGTTACATAAATTAATATAAAACACAATCTGAACTTTGGTTATAATAATTTGTTAAATTATTTTTTTCATAAATTTAATTTAGTACAAATGATTTGTACTTTGTACATTCCCATAGCACTGTGGGAAATGGAAAATTTCTCCTATTCAATTTTATCTGCCTCAAAGTTCGGTTTGAGTTCCTTCTTTCCATCACCTCAAACTTAATAATTATTCCATTTTAGATGTATTTAGTGCTTGAAATGAGTAAACAAGTGATCAAATATAAGGTATCTGCAGGTAGCATGCATGCAGTCTTATACATGTATGACAGAGACCATTAGGCCCCTGAACATGGTACCTAGAATCTTTCTTTATTCATGGTTTTCTGGGTATATACACTATGTCTTCATTTAATTATTTGATACTTTCTCCTTTTAGCCTGGAAAAGAATGGAGGACCATCTGTAATTCCTGTCTTTAAAAAAGGTAGTAGTTTTTCTTTTCTTTCTTTAATGCCCGCTATTCCCAGCAGTCTGTAATTCTGCTTTAGGGTTTCTTTTGCTCTGATTAAAACAAACACCAGACCAAATGAAAAGGATTTATTTCACCTTACATCTTACAGCCAGTCATCCAGGGAAATGAGGGCAGGAACTCAAGGCAGGAACTGGTGCAGAAGCCATGGACAAGAGCCGATTTCTGCCTTACTCAAGTTTCCTTTCTTACACACCCAGTAGCACTTAGCCGGGGGCAGCACCAGCCACAATGGGCAGGACCCTCCCACATCAATCAGAAATGAAGAAAATGCCCACAGGTTTGCCTATGGGCCAGTGTTATAGAAGCATTTTTTTTCCCCCGTTATGGCTAGGTTTGTGTCAAGATAACCTACCAACCAGCAATCCTATCTTTTAAAGTTAAAAATGTGGAGACAACCCTCCAGAAAACATCTGGTCTGTAATTCCACACACAGAAGACACCTTTCCTTTATAAGTCTGCATGAATCATTTAAGGTCTTCCCTACTATCCAATGCCACAGAATTCTCTGGCAGGATGGAGCAGTGGGTAAGAGTACCTGGCCACAAGCCTAATGACCTGAGTTTGTTCCTCAGAACCTATGTGGCGGGAAGGAGCTCCAAGCCAGTGGAGATGGGGTTACAGGAGGTTGTGCATGGCCTTGTATGCATGCTGGGGACGCAGTACGGGCTCTGCAATGGCACTGCATGCAATCAACAGCCGAGCCCCCTAGCCAAGGCCTTATTAGGTCTGCAACGGGGAATAAACACGAATTACTTTCATGCACAGCTTAAATCTGCCAACCTTAGAAAGGGCAACGTCAGAGTACCCTATGTGGTGGGTACATTTATGATGTCACCAGTTCAGAAAGAGAGCAGGAGACAGAGGCATGCCGGGCTTAGAGGACGGCCCGGTGGTTAAGAGCAAATGCAGCCCTTCTAGAAGGCCTGAGTTGGGTTCCCAGCATCCACGTGCGGCTCACAGCCACCTCTAAGTCCAGTTCTGAGGAATGGGACACACTCATCCAGCCTCAGTGGGCACCCACACAGTGCATGCATCCACACTGGTGTGCACGCGTGTGCACGTACACACAAAATAATTTCTCTAAAAAGAGAAAAGGAGCATTTATTCAGGAGTATCTGCAGGGAGCTGGTATCCATTTTAGTCAGGCAAAGAAAATCGTAAGTAATCAATCATATTATAGTTGGGGCCCTGGACTCCAGAGCCGTTTACCTGTGGCCTCTTACTTCCAGGGAAAGAACACCGAAGGAAAGCAAGACCGAAAATCCAACCAAAGGATTCTCTGACTTTAATTCCTCCCTTAACTAACTTCATGGGGCTCTTCAGGACGCCCAAGAACACCAATGTTTACCACAACATTTTCTCTTTTTCATCTGGCATTTCATCCGATATCATAAACGTATCAAGACCAAGAATAGTGTGTTTGAACAAGCTTAAGCACCAAGAGCAGAAAGCCAATCCAGAGCCCACAGAAAGCTAGTAATTAAAAAAAAAAAGCATTTGAACATGAAATGATTCTTGAGTGGTCTTTCAGGGGACGAAGTCTGTGTTGTTCGAATGGAAGGGCTTTATGTTTACTGAACAGATCTTCTTTTCAGTGTTTCGCATGGAATTTAACATCAGGTTAGTTATTGCTTCAAAAAAGTAAGTAGAATTTCTGTAGATGATGCCTCCACTCACACCTACAAGATTTATCAACTGTCATGAGCAGGTAATATATTTGTATATTGTTATGTCTGCATCATGAGCTCCTCCCACCCCCCCATGCCCAGAAACCACCAGGAGTCCGAGTTTGTATGCAAAAGCAAAGAGCCTTTATTGCTAGCTTTAGCTTGGGATCTCCATTTGTCCTGTCTTGAAAAACCAAAAACCAAAAACAAAACAGAGTGAGTTCCAGGTCAGTCAAAGCCACACGAAGAAATCCTGTCTTGAAAAACAAAAAAACAAACAAAACAAAGTAAAACCCACCAAAAAGTTAAGAAGTTATCAAATGATAAGACACCCTCATTTTCTCAGTGTCATTAAGGGTAATTCTTGAAGTTTATTAATTTTATTATTAAGCCTCTAATCACGAACAACCAAGCCTTGAGGTAGCTTCAGGTGGGCTCAAGATATTTCGTATACAACCACAGACACTTTCTGAGAAACTAGCCAGATTATCCTGACAACAGTATTTCTCCTGAAGAATCACTGCCAACTTTAAAAAAAATATATTTTGTTGAAATAAATTTTAATAAAATAGTCTAGCGGTTTCTCCTCTCCACACTCCCCTGCCCAGTCACCTCCACAACTTTTCTTTTTCTCTTTAGAGAACAAATAAGCAAATGACAAACCCTCCAAATAAACTAGAATTTAAAAAAAAACATAAAAGACACACACACACACAAACCTCACACAAACACGAACTTGGAACCACATTATAAAGGCAAAAGAACAGTAAAACAAACAAAAATGCCCAAACAAAGCCATGAGAGACAAAAAGTCTACAAAAATACTATTGAGTGAGTTCACTCTGTGTTGGTCATCTACTGCTGGGCATAGAGCCTATCCCCAAGTGTGGCTCATATAGCCAGTTAGACTCCACTGGAGAAAAATCATCTTTCCTTTGCAAGTGGATTATCAGTTGGAGACAGTTTGTTGGTTAGGGAACATAAGTTCATGTCCACTTCTGTAAAGAGAGACTACTCACTCGTTTCCCTACCCAGGATCGTGGGTTCGTGCCCATTTGGGCGCCAACTGTAGGTAGCAACTGTTGGTTCGTTTTTTGTCACCCATATCTGAAAATAATCACACAGAAACTATATTATAACACTGCTTGGTCTATTAGCTCAGGCTTTTTATAAACTAACATCTTAAGTTAACCCACTTATATTACAAGGCTGTGGCTTACTAGGTAAAGTTCCAGCATCTGTCTCCTTTAAAAAATTAAGATTTATTATCATCTTTAAAAATTTTATGTCTATGAGTGTTTTGCTTGCATTTATGTTTGTGTTCCACATGCGTGCTTGGTGCCCTAGGAGGTCGGAAAAGGATGCTGGATCCACTGGAACTAGAGGTATGGACACTCGTGAGCCACAAGAAGTATTCTTAACCACTGAGTCCATCTGCAGCCCCAGTAGGAATGTGCTTACAGCCCCAAACAGTAGATAGCTACTTTAGACACAAAAAAAAAATTGATAAATTTACACTATCTGCAATACCAAGTTTCAGAGAAAATTATCCAAAACAAGCCTTTCTCATCTCGTTTATTTTCATCCTAGTAAACACAATTAAAAAAAAATCATGGGTGTGAAAGTATGTGGCCCAATTAGACAAGAATTAAAGTACATAGTCGTCTTCTAAGCATGACACCTAATAACTTGCTCAAATGGTAATCCATATTCTGTTGGCCAGGTTTTGTCATACCTCAGGGGCCTGGCGCCTGGTTTGATTTTACAACTGCTCCCATTGAAGAAGTTAGTCCACTATTTGGGGCCAGAAATCAAAAGAAGCACTGTATTTCTCCCAAAG